GAGTAGTTCAAGATTGAATTATTCCACATATGACTTAGAATTCAACGCTATTGTTTAAGCATTGAAATATTGGAAGCACTATCTAATCTACAAAGAGTTTGTTATGTTCTCTAATCATGACTCTCTGAAGCATATAAACAGTCAGGAAAAATTGTCAGCGAGGCATGTTAAGTGGGCAGCATACTTACAAGAATTTATATTTGTCTTAAAGCACAAAGTCGGTGTGCAAAATCAAGTTGCAGATGCCTTAAGTCGAAGGAGATATTTACTTGGTTCGATGAGAATTCAAGTATTAGGGTTTGACTCTTCGAAGGATTTATTGAAAATTGATCCTTTCTTCTCTACAATTGTCGAAAATGTTGAGGATGGAACTAGAACATATTATGTTTTGCATGAAGGGTTTCTCTTTAAAGGAAATCAACTTTGCATCCTAGAGTCTAGTTTGAGATTGAGGATCATACAAGAGTTACATAATGAAGGCCACGTTGGAAGGGACAAGACCTTTGAGCTTGTTTCTCTCTTATATCTGACCTACCATGCGGAAAGAAGTATATCGTTTTGTGGAACGATGTCGAATCTGTCAAGTTTCCAAGGGCAAGGCGACCAACGCTGGATTGTACATGCCATTACCTATTCCATCACAACCATGGGTGGATATAAGCATGGATTCTGTTTTGGATTTTGATAGGATTAAAAGAACACCACAAAGTAGCACACAAATGTCCTATTGATTTTCCTTATTAACACTAAGATTTGTCAATTGTAGCATATGAAAATAAGGGTCTTTCCTGCAGAAGATTGTTTTATCCAACTACTTAAAATGTCACAAAAACTGGGTTACTGTCCCTACTGACCAACTACCGAAAAATAATTATTAGACTAACTTGTACTTATCTAAGTCTATGAAATTTTATATGAAAACACTAGACACACAGAGCTACACTCACACAAATTTTTGGGACTTTTGTAGTTGATTTGCTAATTAAATTAAATCGAACAAAAGCAGGGCAAAAACAGATTTTAAATAGTTCACAAATTAAGAAAAACGAGTTAGGGGAACTGTTATCCACCAACAAATAATCATGCAAACATGTTTTGTTTCATTCAAATTCCTTTTATTTCCGGATGAAAATGCTCAAGTTGGCTCAATGTTAGAACTCAACCTATTACTCTTTCTTATGTAGTATATTAAGAGAATGGCGTTTTCAACTTAACTTAGTCCCTAGCATGCAATCTGGAATGGTGTGTTCATAGATTTAACAAGTATAAATCATTAAGAACGAAAAGAGTTTGAGTCATCACAAGGCATCGTCAGTACTAGCGTTGTCGTACTTATCCTAGAAATTGATTCACATGTTAATCGCAATTAACAAGTACTACTCTAGAACATATGTAGGTCCTCATTCGACAAGGGCAGGCACACACATATTCATAGCATTAGAATCCTAGATATGCTTACTAAGTATGCATCCGTAGAAAACACATAAAGAATTCATCAATGAGACAAGTAGTGAACCAATTTTCATCCATTCATAAAAGTAATTCAAACGAAATGTCATAACAAACTTGCAATCATATTTGGGGCTTCAAAACAGCCCCTAACTACTAAAAATTTAGTTACACAATCCTTAAATTAAAACAAAAGATAGACATGAGTTTGAGAAAATAGAACCAAAAGAAATCGACTGAGGCCTCCTCTTTCCTTCCTTCCCCAATGCTACTTTTAAACCAATTCTTGCTACATCATTTTCTTCTCCTTAACTCACCTACTAATAGCCATTTAGTGATGACAATCAGTGAGAGGAAATGGTAAAACAATTGTAACTCCTTGGGTAGCCTTTATGCCAATCACTCCCTCTTAATCCTCATCTTTAATTCCATTTCCTCTGATATTTGAATAGGTGCCAGCTGGTTTGTTCTTGACTGCATCAGTTTTGGCTACTAGATTTATTGAATTTATTGCTTTCAATGCTTTCTTGTCAGTTACAAACTGCTCAGCCTCTTAGGAACCTTTTAGTGTTAAAATGGCCATAACTTCTTCTAGAAAAATGATATTGACAATCCGCAAAATGCTCCCGAAAATAGACATCTGTAGCTTTCCAAGAATATAAGGCTCATTCTCTAATTCATTCTGAGCTGTCTGTAACTTGCTTCCAAAGTCAGCTGACCTGCATAGGCAGTTTTGACGAATTTGTTACTTAAAATCCCACTTGTGCTATTTTTCTTTTCTTTGCTTGACTAATCCTACAAAACACTAAAACAAAGTAAATAACTCAAAAATATAAGGAACTAACTAAGAAAATACAAGTGAATTTGATATAAAATATAGATAAATAAGAGCTTTTCAGGTTTGCCTCGTACTCACTGTGGTGTAGACTCCATTTTTGTTGTGGTGGATCGATTTTCTAAAATGGTTCACTTTATTGCCAACAAGAAGACAACGGATGCTTTCGTGATGTATACCGAATTCATGGGTTACCAAGTTCAATTGTTTCTAATCGGGACACCAAATTTCTTTGTCATTTTTGGAGGAGCCTGTGGAAATTAGCTAATTCACAATTGAATTTCAGCAGTGTCTATCATCCTCAAACTGATGGGCAAACGGAAGTTGTGAATCGCTCATTAGGGGATCTTTTGCGATGCTTAGTTGGTGAGCATCTAAAGTCATGGGACCAAAAGTTATGTATTGCAGAGTTCACCTACAATCGTTCCGTCAATCGCAGCACTGGAATGTGTCCTTTATATATTATGTTTGGCTTAATTCCTCGAGCACCAGTTGGTCTTGCTCCTGTTCCCAACGTGAAAAGAATTAGTGGCAAAGCAGAAAGTTTCGTTGACAATGTCTAGCAAATCTATAGCATGACGCACAAGTACCTTCAAGAAACAAGTCAAAAATATAAAGATCATGCAAATTCCAAAAGGCGAATGGTGGAGTTTGATGTGGGAGATTTTGTTTGGCCAATTTTGACAAATGATCGTTTTTCAGCTGGAGAATACAATAAACTGTCTGCAAGGAAGATTGGGCCATATGAAATTCTTGAAAAGATTAACCATAATGATTATCGCCTGAAGTTACCTAGCCATATTCATACTTCTAATGTGTTCAATGTGAAACATCTCATTCCATTCAAAAGGGACAGTGAGGATATTGGAACTGCAAATTTGGGGGCGAATTTTCTCCAACCTGGAAAGGATGATACAGATATGATGGCTAGTTCATTTATGGATCATTGGGATAAATTGAATGCTTAACAATATTAAGTAGGACTTAATAAACTCAATAATAGCTTAGGGCGTTTTTTTTGGCTGCTCATAACAGCCAGGCCGTTTTTATGGCTGATAATAGCCTTTCTTCATGTAATTTTCAATTTTCAGTGTTATTATGTTTAAGGCCCTTTTGAATTATGAATGTAAGTTTCAAATTAGTGATAAAACCCACTTCTTGATGGAAGGTTAGGGAGTTGAACATTTTTATTACTGATTGAAATATTCAAAGAAGTTTCTCAGCTTGTGCCTTTCTCTTTGTGAGATTGTTTTGCTTTGTTCTTCTAGTTGTATATGTTGTAGGCTAGTACTAGAGACGGGGCTTTGGGGTTTTCAGGTCTTTCCTCGCATTAGGAGATAGTGGACCCTATCTATTAGTTTTCTTTTTTCGGTTTTTTTTTTTCTAGCTGCTGCACCCTGCATCACCCGAGGAGATGAGCTTGATGGTGGCCTAGGTAGCTGCTTGAGCCTCCAGAGATGTTGAGCTACACATGAGAATATTTGAGAGTCTTGCCCATTTAATGAATGCATTCTCATCTTCTTTGGGAAAAATGCCACGTGTCATCTTCTGGATTTTTGTGATTATTTTTTGCTCCACAATGAGCATTACAAAGGCATATACGATCGGATTGGCTAGTATCTAATTGAAACGTGTCATTTACAAACCTCTCTCTTTCTTATTTTTTCCTTTTTTTAACAAATGATATTATCTACACTAAAGGAGAGGGGGTGGGCTTAACCTCACAATGTGTTAGTAATAATGTGGTTCAAATTCGCCTTTGGCGAGAGTTGAACCTAAGACCTCTTATTTATAAGTGAAAAGAAATACCACTATAATGTAGTACTAAGTGGCTACAAATCTCTCTTTTATATCTTTTTAATCCTCTAGAATGCATTTCCTAACCTCTCCTATCCAATATTTTGCGATCATTTTCTTTATACTTTGGTTTCCACTCTCATGACTTGAAAACATAGCCTAAAAAAGTTTATATTGTGGTTTCCTTTTTGTGGGGCATTTTGAAAATTTAGTGGCTTACTATTTAACGCATAAATGTACATATGATCAGTATTTCCAATCATGGGTGCTTGCCAATATCATTTTCGATATCCATATAAATAATATCCACCACACAACTCCGGTGTCACCACCCAAATATTGTATCTGCATATTCGCCAAATACAAAAAATGTACAATATATTGTACCCTTCATTCAAACACAAACACAAAGAAAGCTGGATTAATGCGCATTGCACTGAATTCCACTCACCAACACAATAATGTGTTATATATAATCATTAATATTTAAGAAATTAAATTAAAATCGTAGCAGTTTCACCTCATTAGACAACACCTGAGACCTAGCTACCTAGACGTGCCTTTTTCTACCGTCTCAGCCCACCACGTACCCCTTGATTCTTCTACTCGGCATCCAGTACAAAATTCCGGACACATCCATCTCCATCTTCTTCTTTTTCCATATATAACTGGTTTCTGGGTTTGTCAAAACCACCCCCAAAATGTATGTACCACTCATATATAATTAACGAACATCGAAACCTTATGATAACAAATTTAAACAAAAAAATAAAAATAAAAAGTAAAGTCATTCCCACTCTTTAACTTGTGCTGTTGCATTAGTTTAAGCGTGAGTATTTAATTAAGAAATAAAATATTAAATTTGGAGTGTAGGCTAACAAATTGATGAGAGCATAAATAACAGATGGAAGGGCAAAACTGTAAGGAGAATGGGGAATTCTTCCATTTCATCTCAATTTCATATACAGCTCCCGTGAAAAAGGAAAGTACAAAACCAAAAAAAAAAAACCCACACCTTCAGTCTCAACCAAATCAACCCCATCCAGAAAATTACTTAATTACCAAAATCACAAGTAATTAAGTTAATTACTTAATTACTGGCTCTCTGACCTGAGTGATCTGAGGCCCCATGGGTACTGTCCCTGTTCTCATCGGTGACTTGTACCTGATGCTGATCGCTGCCATCACTACTTCCTTGCTTATTGTCAGCAGTCGTCTCACTCATTTCCACTAACTTATCAGTCTTTTGGCTACAGCTACAAGAGCTGTTAGTATTGTCGCCAAAAGATGAAGACCTACTTGACATGGGTGTGGCCAAGAAAGTTGGCTTGGCGTCTCCGGCCATGATCACCAAGATTTTCTCTTCGAAAACCTTCGGGAGCTTCTGGGCGGACTCGTTGCCTTTTCCGCCTTCTCCAGCTTCCAGGTCCTGCTCTGATCCGTTTTCGTTGTTTTCGAGGTAGCCAGAGAGTTTCCAGTAGGAGCATGCTAAGATCAGAAGCGCAAACGCAATTAGACCCAACATGGCTGCCAGCCCACCGAACAAGTAGGGCACCGGGGAATGCCACGGTGAACTCTGTGTCGTCGTGATCCCCGATGTTCTGGCTGTCACGTTAAAAGGCTCTTTCCCTGCCATATTAATTGAATCAAACGTCCGTGTTTTGAACTTTTGATGAGGTTATTTTCAGCTAACAATATGTTTGCAAGAGAAGCAAATCAAGCAAAAGATAGAACAGATAATGAGATGGTTGCGGGTGTTGTGGGTTGAGAAGTGATGGTAGTGGGTGTTATATATAGGCACAGAGCTAGGGTGGTTTAATCTGTAGGAGTTGAGCTTTTTTATTTTGTTTATGTTTTTGTTTTCGAGAATAATGTCGTCATTTTGCATGAGGAAGGTGGGGCAAAGCTGGGTCCCCCTTTGTTCTTTGATGGGATATTTCATTCACCTATGAGTACAGTAAAAATGCACTCAGGGGTAGATTTGGTATTTGGACCAATTTTTCATTAGAGAATGTAAGGGCGTCTCGAAGGAGGTGGTATTTGTGGTAAAATTAGATTTGGTAAACTATGTAAGAAAAATGCATCTCTAGCAGAGTAGCAACTCAATTAGCAAATTAAAGAATTAGAAATTGGTTTTGTATATTTATAAGGTCAGTTGCTATTCTTCAAGTTAGCAAATTATGTCCGCAATATATTTTAATCTTTTTGTTTTTTTTTTTTTGACAAACTATAAAGTTCGTAGGCTAAATTATTAGTTGTTAAGTGTTAAGGGAGAGTATTCAGTCAGCGTCAAACCCACACTAGAGTGCATATGAATAATTACTTTCTACTACTGCAGTAAAGCGTCATATGGTGCACAATATTTTGTTCAGAAATATTGTTTGGTAAAGAGTTTTGAAAATAAAAATTGGACTCGACAAGATACGATAAAGTTAAGATTTTTATATTTTAAAGTGAAAGATAAAATTTGAAGGGTTGGTTGAAGAGTGAGTTGGAATGATGAATTTTTAAAATAGCATAAAAATGTCAAATTTGTTAGCAAAAAACAATTTTAAAGAAAAAATTTACTAACTCTTTTAAAAATGCTCTAATTATGGAACGCTTGGCAACAAAGAAAACGAAAAGAAAACACATGAAAAGGAAAAGTTATTTATTCTGATACCTGTGTGCTCCGTGTGTGTTAACGAATATGGAACAAATTAAAAAAATACACACACACACACAGAGTATTATCCCCTTTTTAAAAAAAAAAAATAGGAATTACTTGTAGGCCCACACATCCTTGCAAAATATTAGCCAAATCAAAAATATTTAAAACGTTTAATTGAATTTAAAAAAATTGAAGAACACTATGTTCTAAGAAATGTTGAAATTTCATCACGAAAATTAAATAGGCAATTGTTTTCCGATTGAATTGAATTTTTGTAAGAATGATCTATGAATCGAGACTTACAAAATAGGTGGTTCGTATCGTTGAATTTCGATGTGAAGTGGATACCACAACTAATCCCCATTTTTTGAAAAAAAAAAAATAGAAATCCCTTCTCCTAAAGGGTTTGCACATATTTACGTTATCCAACTGAACAATTACGGCACATCATGTAGATTAATTATAACTATGTATATAGAGTAGCTTTACCAATCACAATCGTTGTACGAGCGTAGATGACTATCAACTATTGATGCAAGTGAAAGGTGCCGAAAGATGCACGTGTACGACAGACATCAGTCTCTCTTGGCATTAGTCCTCATATCTTTTGCCTGAGAAATGAAAAATATGAGCAAGAGTTATGTGCAGTACAGTTTGTAGCCATTTTGTAGCTGGGTTGATGGGAAGGAAGGGTGTGTGTTGGTGTGAGTGTCAAGCATTGAAGAATACAATCACTACCAGAAAAGATCATTTGCCCAAGGAACGTTTGTTGGACGAATCAACTTTGTCGGTCAAAGTAACTTAATCCAACGTAATAAAACAGTTTGTCAGGCAAAAATGGTCAACATTTTAAGTTTTCAGAACCCTTTGCCTGATAAATAACGTTCAATGGACAAACTTTAATACGTCGGGCAAAGTTTTCATGCCAAGGAAAAAATTGGCACGTAGAATGCTACCTTTTGCGTGACGAACTCTTCAAGTTTTCCAGATTTATAGACGAAATTCTTAATTTAACCTTAAAAAACTATGTATATTAAGACAAGTAGAGGAAGCTAGATTGGATCAATTATGTTGGTGTATTTAATCTGTAGGGTCCTCCTTATTCCCAGGTGATTATAATTGAAAGAAAAAAAAAAACAAACATATGATCGCATGCATCATCTTGTCAACCAAGTTGAATCCATTATGACAAAGCCAATGATGCAATGAAAGAAGCGTTTTCATTTCTAAAATGATATTGTCCTTACTATTCTATACCAATATAATATTCCATCTATTGATAAGAGTTCTTTTATTATATGTCCTCCATACTAAATCTTCAACCCAAAACTCCAAACATCAGAATAATTATTTTGGACGCAAACACAATCTTAATACTCTAAACAATATCACTCAATTGGGACATTAATTGCAATAAATGAGATGATTTCGATGTATAGCCAAGCCAACCAATATTTTTCTAGGATTGAGTTCTTCAGGGAGGAGGATTATCTCCCCTCCTAATCTCTCTTCCCTTCCCTCTCCTCCCCTCCTACTTGAATGTGGTTATGGTTGAGTTACATCAACATTTTATATTGATTTTTTTTTATAAAGACAATAAGACAAAATATAAAATGTGAGAAGAGGGAAGAGAAGGAGATAGGAGATACGAATAGAAGGTGAGAGAATCCTAATCCGTTATTCAGACATCATGGTAGACTAGTTGATATTAAATAAGTGCATGGTACAACCACAGCATGACATCATAGACCTTCGATAATATACATAGAGGGTTAGAGTCTTATTAGAAAGAAAGATGACATATCGATATATACCTCCACTAATTCATGTGTAAAGATCAAATGTACACCATGCAATTGGAAATGGAAACAATATGCGGTGCCGGCGCATGCATATGAAAATAACTCAATCGATATCCTTGCTATAGAATTATACTTTTGCTACAGTGAGGTTACTGAAACAGCTTCAAAGGCTTTGCAAATTGCAAGCTACCCAAAGCAAAGCTACGTACATTGCCTATATATATCTACTGCAAAAAAACAAAAGAAAATTGCTAAACAGAGGATGAGCTTTAGCAAGGGGCATGCACCAAAGCAGTAGTAGTTCTGAAAAAAACAAGAAGCCGTTTCTTTTTCAATGGATAATAATTGTAATAAATAGGGAAACGGTTTTTGGCTGATGCATGTAGTGTTACTGCTTTAAGTTGATTCCAGTATTTTCTCACACGCAATTGGCACTTCCCCCTCTTCTTTTTTCTGTCTCTTTTTTCTGGCTTTGTTCAGTTTTCCTCAGCCCCAATACTTTTAAGTTAAAGCTTTAGAAAATGACAATTCTTTTTCTTACTTCCGTGTCATTTACGTATTCTTTGGGTATGCATATATAAAAAGATGACACAAGTATGTAATGTAGCTTATGTTATCCAAATTTTGAGTTGCATGCCTTTTGAGTATTTTATCCTCCTTAATTGCACATAAAATACATATATGCGATGAATATCAGCATGACTCAAATGGTTCTCTTGGCCATATGTAAACAACTAAACCAATTACAGAGTCCGGGACCCAACAATAAACCGACTACTCCTATTACTACTCCATTATTTTTCCCACTATATTATGTTTTCCCTGCTAGTGGCAAGTCTTTTGTTTGCAACTAGGCATTGCATTAGTGCTAGCCGAAGCCAAAGATGTGCAACATATACACCAACACATAAACACTACCCTTACCCTTTGTCTAATAGTGTTATCATTCTACGTACTATAATATAAGCAGATTACACATATACTTGTTACATTTCACTCTTATATTAATAAAAACAAATATATGCATCATTCCACTAATATAGGTCAACAACATAACTGATATGTCACAAACATAAAAGAGATTGTTTAATAAAAATAAATAAATACATATGTTATAACTTGAATAAATAAAACAACAAGTGCTAGTGTCATAGTGGAAATTATGCACCCATGTGGCCATTCTCGCACAAATTCGAGGCTTTCCAACTCCGATTTTCCTTTCCTCTCAAAATCTCACCTAACTATTGACAAAAAATAAAAAATGGTAAATAGTAGTCTTGTATAACAAAAACTTACTCTCACTCGACAATGTAGGAAGATGAGTGGTCAGGGTCCCACCATTAGACCTTCTGTTAGGAGTAGGATTATCTTCTTTCTTTTTTTCCCTTCCCTTTCCTCTTCTATTTGAACGGTCACAGTTAAGCCACATCAACATCCAATATTAATTTTTTATGAAAAGTAAAAACAAAATAGAGAATGTGAGATAAGGGAATGGAAGATGATGAAAAAATGAGGAAAGAGAATCCTAGTCCCTTCCGTCGCCACCTTCTACCACCCAACGTACACGTCAAGGACAATAGGATATTCCTCCCAAAGCGATACGTCCCATGCTTTATTCAGCCCTTCAATATTATTAATAGTCTCTTCCATTAAGAGTAAATATTATCTTAATACTTGGTTATGTTAATAAAGAGATTAATAGAAAATAATTGGGATGGAGTTACGAACTAATCCGAATCAGATCCCATTCCAGAAGTGATGATCATAATCAAAATGTTGGGATTGGGCCCATATGTACCATTTTTATTAAATAATGTTAAATCAATCCATAAATTTGTCTCTAATTGGACACATAGTCGAGGATGGTAAAATTTTGAAGTCGAATATCGCTGGAGCTTTTCTTGTCCTCGTGCGCCACTAAGAAACCGAAGTAATTGCCCATCGTCTAACTCTATCTAGTCTCCATTCACCTTGTGATCGATCATGGTTTGAAAAACCCCCTAATCTAATTCTCGATCTTTTAATGGAACAATGCAAAGGCTGATGTTCTATTCCTTCGGCACTGCTTTGTATTGTTCAGTGTATTTCTCTTTCATCAATGAAAATCTATGGTTGCAGTAAAAAAATAAAAAGTATACTAAACCTACGCATCTCACTATCTTTCTTGTAATTGGTTAAACTTGTGCTTTATCTCATTAAGTTCTTTTGTTGTATGTTAATAGCATGCTTCCCTCTTTGAGTTCGAATGTAGGGTTGCTGCGGGCTCTTAATTTAGAGTTCAAACTCTATCACATCCCAAAATTTGCTGAAGAAATATTATGTCGG